AGTGTGAAGTAATTTGATATCTCAATTTATACAGGGAGACCCAAAACAAATTAAAATTTGAAGACGACATTTAAGCAATCATATGTGTATTTGTTGAAAGCAATTCATTTTACCATGAATTGGGTCTTCATATACACTGCACAATGGCTGTATTTCATTTTCCTCGGAATGTTTAAAATCATAACTTGAGGTTAGGGGTTGTCTTCCTATTCCACACTTTTATAGGTCTTACTACAGATATGGATAAACTTTTTACACTGTTTAACCCAGAACTTGTGGGAAATCGAAAGAATTTATAAAATGGCGTCTTCAAGTTAAAAATACTGTATTTAATAACATTTTACCTAAATCTTAGTAAGTGTATAATTAAATAAATAACCATGAAATGTTCTAAAGAGCTCCACATGATTATTCAATGAAAAAAAACTGAATATCTACAACTTTCCATTATCAGCAAGTTTTTAAACTCTTTCGTGTGTTCTGAGTTAAACTATATGTAAACCATTGCACAGACTCTAGAAATCAGGAAGAGTATGTATCTAAGTAATATAAGCTTTGCGACAATGTTATTTGCTTTTGATGAATTGAAAGCTTTGGGAAAACTTCTTCAAACTGTTGGAAAACTTCTTCCAACTGTTGGAAAACTTCTTCAAACTGTTGGAAAACTTCTTCAAACTGTTGGAAAACTTCTTCCAACTGTTGGAAAACTTCTTCCAACTGTTAGACTCAAGTTGTGGTTCAACATTTTCCAATGATCATGAAACACATTCTGGAGAATATGTTTCAAATACACATAAGATTGTTTCAATGTCGTCTTCCCGTTTCCCATTTGTCCCACTGTATAGTTTATATCCAAAGAGGGGTATGCTCAATTAACCTTGATTTGAATAATACTAGCATTTTGAAGAATTTATCAAATGTCGTCTTGACAATTTTTAATGATCGAGTTTTTTACTATATATTACGTAAATTTCAGTATTTGCAAAAATAAATAAATAGCCACGAATATGCAGGAACAGTTTTAAAGAATTCCATATAATCATTTAATTAAAAACCTAAATATCTGCAACATTCCATTATCAGGAAGTGAAGAATATGACATTTGATGAATTCGTTATTCACTGTATGAAAGAATTCGTTTTTTAGCTAGCTTGAAAAACGTGTTTATTTCTGATAATGTCTCCATTATTTCCTTAGCAAGAAATGCACAAGAAATGAGTAAAGAAACCAAAAATAAAAATTGTTAGCTTTCAAAAAGTAAAAACATGAATGTCAAATTTATACTTGATCAGACAAAGCTTTCAAGAGTATCGTTTTGAATCTCGGGTCCCTGGAAATTACGTTTATGTTCTTATGTTTGTTGTTGCACCCTGTATTTTCCTGGTTGGTATTGTACTAGAGGATTTTCTGTATATTCTATAAATGCTTGAGTATGGTTGGCACAGTTTCCAGGAATACAATTTCTCCGCATATAAAACCTAGATTTCTAGGTCTGCTAAACTACTAAACCTTGTCAAACTGCAGTGCTTGTTTTCACGAAATATACTTCACTAATTATATCAGATTCGTCATCATTCGTAATCCTTAATTTAATTAATCCTTATATATTAAATCCTTTCGTATTCCTTTCATCATTCGTATAATCTTTAACCATTTGTAATTGAATTTATTTGTTTATTTGATCAATTATTTTTTTGTAGTCCTATGATCATTGTAATAAAGTGCAATTGTTTTGCGAAATTGCATTATTACTACACAATTTCAGAATTGAAAAAATATTTCAAAGAGTTTGGTTGAAATTATAGGAAACATGAAATAAAAATGAGTAAATGCACTTTTAGGGCCCGGGGTGTGTCAAACAGGTTTTACATACAGAGTTACCCACAAAGGATGAGACTGAGACTGCAGAGATTGTACTGAAGTCGTTTATTCTTAGGGTTTCCACGAAATGGCTAAATCTTTTGCGCAAAATTTGCGCTATTTTCGCGCAAATTTTATTTTTGCGAACTTTTGCGATTTTGCGAATGATTGCGCAAATTGTTGTTTTTTCGCGCAAAATTGATGCGCAAAGAAAGAAAAATATTGCGTTTCGTTCCTCAAAAATTGCGCAAAAGTTTTGCGAATGGAAACCCTATTTATTCTGTAAAAACATGTTTTCTTTCATTCATGGTTCCGTGTAGGCCAAAAATGGCTTATTTCTGACTTAATCATTTAGTTAAGCATTAAAATACTCGATTGAATGCAGAAACCAAACCTCAATCTTTAAATAGTCATATTTTTAGATTTTTGGGTCGTCTTCACAGTCTCCGCCTTTGTTGGTAACCCTGTATTCATATTTAGATGGAGATAATTTTATTAATTTATTCCTTAGGGAAAAAAATCTTTCTAAAGGTTACAGGGGGTAGCTGGGAGCGATGGGGGGCGATGGGGTGTATAGGTAAGACATTTTATTATTTGGTTCTAATATAATTTGACACCTAGTCGAGATAGGGTGTGTCTATAATATAATTTATTATATATAATAATATTAATTCCATTACCTAAATGTAATATAAAACGATGAAAGCGATACTGATAGATCTTCATGTGAATTGTGATAGTAAGCAAGTTTTTGAGGGACTGATGATTCAGGGGCGTAGTCAGGAATTGTCCAGGGGGGCTTACATTTTTTGCTCTTTCCATGATCATTTATTTTTTTGTAGTCCTATGATCATTCTTAATAAAGTGCAATTGTTTTGCGAAATTGCATTATTACCCGTTGGGGCCTGAATACCCCCTAAAATCAATAGATTTCACTGGTCCATGGGGGATTAGCCACCATAGCCCCCCCCCCCCCCTGACTACGCCCCTGGAGGAATTATTAACTTAATTTATTAAATACAGAATTTAGATCATTTTCTAATCAAATTATACATTTCCTTTATAAAAAGCTGATTTTTGGTATGCAACAATTGTCATTGAATATACCGCTGATCTAAAAAGCTTATTTATGTAAGTCCATTGCTAAAACCAGCTCTTTACAAAGGAATACCATTTACTGTCCGTAAATGATACATTGTAAAAGTGTTTACTGAAGACGGACAATAATTAAAGATGTTCTCTTAAAACTTAAAGTTCACGATAACACGAACACGAGAAGAAACAAACGCCACCCAAACGTGTTTTGCGGCATGCGTGCTCCTCAATTGGTAATTAGAAATAAAAAAGTTAACATTAAACAGTTTATTCCTCAAAAATAAGACCATTGACCTATGTTAATGACCCTATGGTGTACATGTACACAGGGGCGGACACAGGATTTAAGTGAGGGGGGGGGCATGATTTTTTAGGGACAAAAAAAATGATAATTAGGAACAAAATTAAAGGATTGGGACAGGGATTTCAGGTGGGTCGGACACAGTATTAGGAACAGGAACAATAATAGGAACATTAGCAATTAAAGAACAAAAAGAAATTACTAGTTTCTTACCAATTTCTAATTCTAAATTTATCGTTAACAATAACATTTACTTGTTGTCGTTGATTTTTAAATTAAACTGAAGAAAAGACTCAAGATGTGTAGTGTGCCGCGTACCAATAAAACAAAACACAATGTCTGTCGTCGTATACTACTTACATCGTTGGTTATAAACTTATATTTATTTTTAACAAGCTAGGAAAATATTTTTTTTCGTCCTTCTCTTCTGATGATTCAATTTTTCAATAAATATTAATTATTATATTTCCAGTAAATAAAAAATAATCAAATAGCTTAAAATTGAAAAACACATACGATTTATCAAATTTGGAACATTTTTTGCCTCGAAATCTCAGGGGGGGGGCTACGCCCCTCCCTGAATCTGTCAGGGGGTGGCGAATGTCCCCCCGCCACCCCCCTGTGTCCGCCCCTGCATGTACAATATTGTTAAAGCTTTCTTTATTGCTCCTCAGTTTCGAAAACAAATCTATAAATGGACAAATTCCTGAATTAATATTGTACATCATATCATATTATATTCTAATGAAGAGAGTATTATTTTTTATTTCCTGCTATTATATATATTGATCTTTTATAGTGAATAATGCTTAATCATGTTAATTTTTTTGCAGTGGCCTGCAAGTAGTTTCGTTTATTTATAGATTTAAAAATAAAAGTATTTACCATAAGAAGGCTGCAGAGACTGCAGTCTGCAGAAGGGTTGAATTGTGGCACGTGATAATCTGAATACAAACTTCACCTGTTTACAGGCTGTTTTGTACTGGTACAGGAGAGTCAGAAGAAATGGGATTTTGTAAAAGACAACTTTTTATGCTTTTTTTGCCTGAAACCTTTAGAAATTAGCTAACTTTTGATAATCATCAATTCATTTGTTTTTTGCATAAAATTGAATGCTGTTCTGTTTTTATTATATTTTTTATTTAAAAAACTGGAGATTGGATAATTACTGGGATAATTCGTTATAAAAATTAAAATGTCATCTTTTAAGTCACATATATCGAATGACTCCCCCTGTATTTAGTACTGCATACCCTCGTATTTCAGTAAATACCAGTATATACCAGTTTCCCCAAATTGATGAATTATTTACCTATATTTCATCACCCTAACATGAAAAAGGAAAGGTTGGAAAAGTCGGGTGGACCAAACCTTAACTCAAATATTTATTTCAAGTTTTAAATATATTCCAATCTGAATAATACTATTTGCAAAATATGATTTTGATTTCATTTGAAGTATAATTATCCCTGAATAGTATTTCGAGGATCTAACTGACTCCCAGCTGATCAGTAGAGAACAAACCACAGGGAAATATAGACGGACATAATACACTTTTTTACGCAGTTATTCAAAATATAAATTTAATAGTTTACGGTTTAGATTATGTGTATGTTCAACTGACACATTATTTGTCTTGCAATTTTCATTCATTTTACATTTTAAAAAAACTTCGCAAATCTGTCGTACTTTCAAAATCTAACAAATAACAGTATATTTTGTGACGCTATATTTGCGTACAGAAGCTGCAGTATGGCTGCGTATCAATGAAACTGCGTGCAATGGCAAGCTCACCAAGATCAACAGTGAGCAGAGATAACTATAAACACTTATACTTTGTTTATTTGTAAATATTTAACAATTCAACAACAGAATCCATCAGATCTATCTTTTTAAATCAATCTACTTTAAAACTAGGTAAATAATCCGATATTTTGACCAAGTTTAGACACAGAAAAGTTGTTTGTGCCCCCCCCCCCCCCTCGGAAATTAAAATAAATATTAATAAAGTTGTAATTTTTATGATAATAGCTTATTTATAAATACATGCATTTTATTAATGGACTTTTGCATGTTTTTTACTGGAAGAAGAAAAAAGTCCTAGAAAATAAAACTTCTCAAAATGTTGGACTTTCTTTCCATCGATCTTTCTTTTCGAAGGCTTTTTTCACAGGACTGTTTCTGGACTTGAATTTTGGGACTTGACGGTTTTGTACAATTATGACACATATTTCTGGGCCAATAAAAGATAAATTGTTAAAACTCAAGATTATGATGGGATTGGTTCGGAATAGGAAAATTTCTGAACTTACGAGTTCCGCATCTTGACAGACAATTGAAAAATATTTTAAAGTTTTTAAACTTTCTAAATACACTATACTTCGTGCTCAAAATGTTGCATAAGTGTCTTGTATCAGGAAATTTTCGAAATAAAATTTAATTTGTAAAATAAATTAAACTTGATCAAAACACAGATCTAATTTTTTTTATGACACGTATAATGAATACAAAAGATATACAAGTTAGAATTTTATATTTCCCTATTTATGGTTGTTACTTGATCAAAACAATAAAACATTGAATAATGTGAAATCTATTAATCAATTCATTTATGAAAAGAACTTGTCAAGGCCTTTGATCAACACCACTTGATCAAACATACAAAACACTCGAGGTCGGCTTGAATTAAATAGTATTTAAACAAATATATATATATATATATATATATGTATATATGGTAAGGTATGATATTATACTACACTAGCTTAGGTACTCAGCTTTGTCTAGAAATTAAACTTTCTATAAAATATTCAACCCAATCAACTTACATTTTAAACCAAGCTAAGAACATTCCCCCTGGTTCTTTCTAACGAGTTCCTCAGTCAAAATTAAAGGCAAAGTGCCAGTGGTACATAACTCTAATACGGGAAATTCTGTGGTTTAAACAAGATGTTTAAAGGACTGTTAACGTAATTTCAAGAGACCTTTCAAGCATACATGGCAATGTCCAATTTACTAAGATACCCTTAAAACCGTTTAATCTGATCAAAAATGTGGAAGATACCGTCGTTTTTCTGATAATTCATCCATTGCTTCTAACAATCCTCAACAATTTTGCAAGCTGGAACGAATACTTTAAATAATATTTATATGAACGAAGAGTTTTATTATATGATGATCAAAAGAATGATATTTATTTAGTTGCCGTTTAAATACAGACTGCTTTTATTGAAATAAAGTACGCTAGGGATTCGACTCAGCTGCAATTTAAGATATCTTGTCATAAAACTGTCATTCTCTTAGTCAATAATATTTTTTTATACATTAACTTTCATTTCTAAGATTATATATTACGATGCTTTAGGACGCTTCGCACCCATCTTTTATTTCAACTTTTAACTTGGCTTTATCTGTGAGCATCTTCTCTAAAACAAAACAAACAAAAGCTTGCGAATTTCATAAAAAAAAATTTGTGCATTTTCAAAATTTTACAAAAATAAAAAAAACTTTTTAGACAAATTTTTGAAAGTTTGATCATTCTTAACCCTTCCCTGGGGTCACGTGAAGTCCCACACAAAATTTGGGCCCGAACGATTCCGCCGTTTTTACGTTTATGGGATACAAAAAGACGAACAGACAGAAAGACAAGCGAAGTATTTGTAGATATTTAAATATAGAATTAAAACAATTAAAAGATAAAATATTTATAAAATTGAACATTCATAAGATAGAATAACAAAAACATACATTTTTAAGTAAATAAGAGTAAAAATTAAGACATGTTTACTTTTTAAGAGACAATTTCTCTTTGTTTGTATGACCGATCTTAACTCAGGAACCCCTTGACCGATTTGCCTCAAATTTTGATTGGGGAAACTGTATAGAACTATAACGGTAATGTTCTTAGTTTGGTTTAAAGGGTCTAAGTTCATTAGGTTTGCTCTTAAAAGAAAAATTTGTTTCCAAGCAAAGCTGGGTTCCCAAGCTATTTTTAGTCGAATAGAAATAAAAATTGATTCTTAATGAAGAAATGAATTGTTAAGGTGGTTTGAGCTGATTTAATAAGTATGGAGGAAGTAACCAGTCTCTGGGTGTTTGGATACGGTAGTTTGGTTTGGAAACCTGGATTCCAGCATGGACAAACAGCTGTCGGTCATATTGAAGGATTGGCGCGAAGGTTCTGGCAGGGCAATGAGACGCATCGTGGCACTCCTGGTCGACCAGGACGGGTTGCTACACTAGTTGAGGAGGCAGGTTCGGTTACTCATGGTCTAGCTTTAGAGCTAAAGGGAGAAGAAGCGCTGGATTATCTTAACAACAGGTTAGAAAATATATAATAGTTATTCAGATATTTATAAATATTCAGTAAATTCAAGTGATTCTTTAGATACATAATTATTCTCTTATTGTAGTTTTACTGTTTCAATTCTGTAAATGTCCTTCTTTGACATTCTTGCAAAAATATGCAATTTTATAGAGAACACGCAATCAAAATTTTCAATTTTTAGAAAGGAAAACAAGGATTATATTTGCTTATTGTTTACAGGGTGACCCACAAACGATGAGATTTTAAAATGTCAATGAAACTCTCTAAATACAACGACCTGAACATATAATTTATTTTTCTGTCCAAAATATTGTCTTTTAATGACATACTTAATGATATGGCAAAGAAAGAAACAAGTTTACCCAGGCAACCTAGAATTTAAGAACAAAGGCAAAAAAAAATCCGTAAAGTCATCTCTAAAGTCTCATCCTTGGTGGGTAACCCTGTACTAGGGAGGGAAGGCCAAGAAGCCATGAACCCCGTGGAAAATCTCCGAACCCTGTGGAATGGTCTCCGAACCCCGTGGAGGAGGTTTTTTGAAAAAAACGTTATCAAATATAAATATTACTTGTAAATTAGCAATAATTTTCCAATCTTCTCGACATATGGACTCAATAAATATAATAATCAAGTTAAAGAAATAATTTTCATTATTGTTTTAATTGTCTTTTTCTCCAAATTTTGTTTTCCCGTAAAAAAGGTGGATCTCAAGTATGACACTATTCATAGAATTATGTTTGTTACCTTTTATTTCCTGTTTTGAATTAAAAGGTCATTGCTTAAAATAGAAAATTAAGTTTAATAGTAGTATACATGGGGGGGCTACGGGGGCNTGGACTACGTTAAAACATGTTATTGCATTTTCATGAAAAATATCATTGAAATACTAAAAACATTGTGCGTTGTTGCGTAGGTCCATTTTAAAGTTTAAGCTTAAAACAGGAATACAAAATAAACATATACTAGGGCCGTGAATAAGATCAAAATTGCATTTATTAGTAATACTTTTGTTTGATCCTGTGCCATATGTTGAAAAAAATTCAAAAATCATGCGATTTCCCCCAGAATAACACATTTTTTGCTCCGTACAGGGTTCGGAGATTTTCCACGGGGTTCGGAGACTGTTTCTGCAGGGTTTCGGAGACTTTTTCACGGGGTTCATGGCTGCTTGGCCTTCCCTCACTCCCTGTACATTGGCTCTCCCTTGAGTTTTACTTTTTTACTTTTTTGATCATTCAAACTTTGATTCATAGAGAGATGACCTTGGGAGGTTACAGGCAGCAGATTGCAACATTTCACCCATCAGAGAAGGAGATTCCATCTTTTCCAGTTTTAGTATTTGTTGCAACTCCCCAGTCCAAGCATTGGCTTGGGCCTGCCTGTCTGCAATCAATAGCAAAACAGGTGAAGGCCGATATTAATATTTAATGGTGTACTTAAATTTGTTTTGGATAAACAAATTTATAAAATCAAATACTCCTTCACTTTTTTTTCGACTTTGGATTATCTGATTTGTTTTCAAATTAAAATTTAAATAAGTATCAACATCAGCAGCCGACAAAAACACAAAAATAGATTTAAAAGGAAAAATTCGATAAATGGTTTTAAAAAAAAGTGAGAAATTTCTGCAGAACTTTTTTATATTTTATGATTTTGCTGGATTCGAATCATTCATTCTCTGCATGGACTGAACCCTGGGTTCATGTTCTCTTGCAATAATTCATCTTTTTTTGTCTGAAATCTGACTCAGCGACATACAAATTGCAAATGTAAAATTTTACTAATCTTTGCACATGTTCAACGTCCGGATCTAATTCTGTTTGCCAGAAGAACAAAAATCTGTGATTATGTGACCCCCCCCCCTCTTATTTTTATCCGAACCTAAAATCTAAAATCTAGGATAATTTTTGGTGAATTTGTTTGTTTTTCCTATTTTTGATGTTTTATTTTCTATAACAGTTTTTACGTAATAATTATTGTACGTTTTGTGTACTTAAGGTTGTACAGAGTTCTGGACCTAGTGGGCATAATGTGGAGTATGTGATTAAGCTCGCCAGGTGGCTCAGGTATAAAATACTTATAATCCCGATCGCTTGATTTAGATATCCAAATTGGTCACTTATGAATTTTACGGAGAATGTGTTTGATCTCTAAATTTTAGAAATCACTACTTTCTCTGTTCTCTCATTGGTTGACCGCAAAATTCCCTGGTTTCTGGCAGGCTCTTTGTTTTTTTTTGCACTTCATGGGATATCGAATAAAGATTAAATTAATATGTAAATTAACAATAGATCGATATCAATCATTGATCTCGATATCCAGTATCCACAAACAAGAGTTCCCACCTCAGATTTGTTATCAACATAATTTTAAATGGCATTTTGATAATCGAAACTTTTAAATAGAAATAGACTTCTTAAATATGACACAGTACTTTATTAATAATTTTCAACAATTAGTATCAGTTTTCTCCTTTTTACAAAGCATGAGAAATAAATTGATTTTTTTATCCAGGAAAACTTTCCCAGACGTTCATGACGATCATCTCTACACGATCGAGACCCACGTCATGATCGAAATGACGATCAACAACATGGATATCGACCTCCTCGTCGGCGAGGATGATGACGCGAGCACCGTCGCGAATGCGAGCTCAGCTCCTCTAGCCGCAGCTCCAAGCGCGCGTGCGTCCTACTCGTCCTCCTGCACTGGGAAAACTCTACGTTGTGTCAAGCTTTAGGATTAATTTAACATATTCATTCCAGCCTCGTCATCCGACATATTCATTCCAGCCTCGTCATCCGACATATTCATGCCAGCCTCGTCATCCGACATATTCATTCCAGCCTCGTCATCCGACATTAAAAACATTCTGCAACTTGTCTCGTCTAAATACTTGATTAAGTTCTAACTATTCATTACAGTCCAACCGTCAATATTAATCTCTAGCTTATAAAACCAATCTCGGCCAGTTTTCAACTCCAAACACAAATCTCAAGCTTATCCAAACCAATCTCCAACCAGTACTACCAATTAAGTATTCATCACAGTCCAACCGTTAATATTAATCTCTAGCTTATAAGACCAATCTCGGCCAGTTTTCAACTTCTAATACAAATCTCAAGCTTACCTAAACCAATCTCCGACCAGTTGTTCTACCAATCTCAACAATAAACAACTTACCAATCCAGTGTTTTAAGGCACCTTATTATTATTTATAACTATCATGCGCTAAAAGAACTATACTGTATTATTTTCTTGTCAATCTCGACCAATCTCAATCATTTTTAATCAATCTCAATCAAATTTAACCAAATTTGTATTTGAAACATTCTGCCTAATTTAAATTAGAAAAAAAGAACATTTTAAAACTTTTACTTAATTTGATTACAATGTCGATGCTAATCTCAAATCATTAAATTTCGTCTATTTATTTTGATCTTGATGAAAACATCTTCATTTATAATTCGAAATAAAAATCAACCAAATGCAATGTTTTGAATTATTGAGGACAGTTTAAGCAAACAAATAGAAGTGACTAGTTTTTTTATAAATCATATTGATTTTATTTTATTTCTAGAACATAGTTAAGCGCAAGGGTGTAATGCAAGGAAAGTTAATTGCGTACATATTGAAACCAGTTCTCTTTGGGCGGAATTTGTAAACAAGAAAAGATGCATCAGTTTTCGTTTAGTATCCGAGGAGGTTAAAAGCATTAAATTTGATAATTTTGATAATTCACATAATAATTTCCGATGACCAGAATATTTCATTGATTTTTTTATGTGAAAGATGGATCCCATGTCAGGCTGTAACATCCGTCTTGTGTTTACATTACCGCCCAGAGACAGTACACTGCAGTACAAAAGATGCGTATTATTGCGTACACTTCTGAAATAACGTTCATTGCATTACATCCTTGGTTAAGCGAGTATTAACTAAAGCGCCAAAACCTTCTGAGTTTCTGGTTTGTCATTATAATATTCAAACAAAGGCTAATTAATCTGGATACGTGAGTTATTAAAATCGAAAATGGAATTTCTTTAAGAATTGAAAACCTGTTCAAGAAAGAAAGATGGACAAATGTAATACTAGGGCATTATTTTTGCTTTAATAAACTATTTCATGCTTCAAACCTTTTTTACTATGCTTGCAGTTCTATAATTCAAAAACTAGTTGTAAAAGATCAATGAAATATATAGGTTCAGTCCAGTATCTAGTTTAACTTCTTTGGGAAATTACCAGGGAACAGGAATATAGGGAAAGGAAATGGCGCTGGTCCGGCAAGAGAAAGCCAGTCGCACTGCTTTGCAGACCAGTACAGTAAACTTACAAACACTCTTCTGGTACAGACACACAACATGACTACAGTCAAGGAAATTGTAGAACAATGTCGTCGATTATAATTAAACTTGGATAACGAGTAGTTTATTGTAAACTTTAATCAAATTATATTCTTTGCATGAAAATTTGGCTTTACAGTGTTGACTTAAATATGTAAATAATATATTACATGTATATTAAACTTATTTATAAGTAAACAATTAACAATAAACAAATGTACTCTCCTAGGCTGTACAAATACCGAGATTCTTACGTACTGTATAAACCTACAGTACACACCTGATCGGTACTTTAAACTGACACACACTCTTTTGGTACAGACACACACACATGACGTTTCCGCCCCCTGGAAATTACGAGTTTACTTTGCCACGGGTTCCCTTCACCAATTGGTCTAGGAACCCTTGATAAAGTAAAATTCCCTCAACTCTCCTGTAATGTAGTTGTAAATGGTCTGGTGTACACAAAATTAAAAAATTTGCCGAAAGATATTTAAAAAATTAATAGATTGGGGCAAGAAGACGTAGCTGCGTAGTTTAGCCAATGTTAATTCAATTCATTAGTGCAATCTTGTCCTAGAGTTGAAATCTGCATTTTTTTCAGATGAGATAGAAATAATTAAGATTTGTATTCTTTTCTTTATATAATATTTTAAATGATAAAATTACCTTCTAACCCCTTTAATAATAGCTTTTATGCATGGCTTTTGTTCTAACCTGATGTATAAGCAGCAAGATGTAGTTAAACAAGGTACGGCAAGGGGAACTACTTCTTTTCTACACTCTTGACCGTAACAGAGAAGTAATTTAACCAACCGTTTTTAGTTCAATAAAATTTCCCTATTCATTAATTCCGACCTCTGATAGACAAAGTTCCAATAAAACATGAGTAACCAAATATGGGACACCTGAGATGGCAACTTTTAATTAGAATAGGTGTTGGTTTAAGCGACTGAACTCTTTACTCACAAAATTAACTTTGAAATCAATGATTCAGATTAAAATCCGGGAAATCCAGAGATAAATATGAAATAATTCAAACAGTGGTTAAGCTAATGCAAAATTTTCTACCTCTGATGAATAAGTTAATCGATGTTCAGAGGATTAATTTATTAAAGAGAATATAGAAACTTGAAACTTTCAGTACACACAGGCCGTGTCCCAATAAAATGGGAATTAAGTGACTACTTTTTTATCGTCTTCGTTTCATATCGCATCACTACGTCATCACTATTTATTAGTATCCTAGTTGACAGAATTAATTCATCAAAACCTATTACTCTCGGGAATTCTAAAATGTGGTCTACCATTTTTGTTGAAGTTGAAGAAGATGTGAAGAAATCTGTCCACATTTCAATTTGTTCAATAACAACATAATTGTTCAATTGTTGATGTCTCCGTTAATTTTAAAGATACAAAAAAGGCAGATCACTTTGTGAAAATCTCACGAGACATACAATCTCTTTTTAAAAACACTTTTTGTCATTTATCAACTAATGGACATCGAAGACGATTTTCAAATGGTCTCTTAATTCCCATGTTTATTTGGACACCCTGGATAGTGCATGTATACTCAGCTGCAGGAAGGTTATTAATTAATAACATGAAGTCAAAAATCAACAAATTGAAAATATTCATTGGAGTCAGTTCAAATTGTATGTGTAGGAAATGGAGGCATGATAAAATCAAGAAACCGAAACAGAACTAAACAAAACTCTATATTTGAAACATAATGTTTAAAAATATAGAACCCACCAACGGCCTGTTGTGAAGATAAAAGACAAAATTACCAAGGTTTCCCAATTATATAATTTCCTCATGAAGTCAAATATATATTTACTAAGAAAGAGACTATAAGACGAATAAACGAATTTGCTTCATTCTAATTATCAGTTTTTAATTAAAGAAGTTAATTAGCTCTTTCTTGGAACTAGTTTTAACCTTAAAATAAAACACTAAACAAACAAGTCTAACTACAGACCAGCCAGTCCCACCACAGACCAAGATATATTCTCCAGCTGGTTCTATGAACAGAGCTACTAGAGACCTAGAGCAGATAAGTGTTTGTACAGGGGAGAACTAGATTTCCCCGCCAGTACACAAGAGACTGCTCGTTACTCTCCAGAGGATTTTAAGTACGGAGACGCCGCTCATTGTAGAGCAGCTCTTCACAGACCTGATGCGAGTCCAGCTGAAGAAACAGCTAAGAACACAATAAGATCATCTCAGAATGGAGAACAGTTAACATAGTAGGGACTTCAGAAGTATAGCTCCGTAATTTATAGAAGCTGCTGAGAATGCAGTAGAAGCATCTCGGAATTGTAGGAGCAGCTCCGGTAGTGCACAGCTAACATAGCAGAGACTCTAGGAGCAGCTCCGGTAATTAACAGCTAACATACAGGGTGTCCCACGAAACATGAGTTGAATAGTTTTTAATGTCGTCTTACACTGTATTAGATATAAAAGGCTTTATGCAGTTTATTTCGTTTAGAAATCTTTTTCTCAAATATTTTTACTTTGAAAAGAAATTTTACTATAAAATGACTCCTTTATAATATTTTTATTATTGTCTTTGGTTTTATAACATCTTAACAAATTAAGGAAGAAGACATTCTAAACTATTTACCAACTTTCATGTTCCGTGGGACACCCTGAAGCAGACTCTAAGAGCAGTTCCGGTAATAAAGGAATCAGCTGGGAGTGCAGTGGAGGCATCCCATATTGTAAAAGCTGAAGCAATGGAGACTCTGGAAGCAGCTAAGATTGCAGTGTAAGAGATACTGAACTTAAAACCTAAAATAGCAATTGGGTTGAGGATTGAGGAAGCTGCCTAGATAGATACTGATTTTTAAAAAAAACCTTTTACTTAACGTAAAAGTACCTAGAACTCAATCCTGTAAAAAGGACAGGGTTTGCTTGAAGATGAACATACTGAACTGGAGCAGCTAAACGAGATAACGAGTTGGAGAAGCTGCCTAGATAGATTCGGAACTGGAGCAGCTGAATTAGGTATTGATATTGAGGAAGCTGCTCAGACAGGCACTTAACTGGAACAGCCTAATCACAGATTCTCAGATACCATAGAGAGCCGATTCACCAAGAATAATCTTTAACAGAGGTATTTAGATCAATAAACTGGAAAGCTGATGAATCCCATGCATTCATACTCTGAGAGATATATATAGAGTGAACATTCAAGGGGTTTATGAAATCATGGAAGTGGACTTAGAGAAAGACATTTGTACACGCTCAAAACAGAGGGAGGAAATGATTAATCTCGAAAATCCCTAAGATTTATATCTGTAATTGTAATCGATTGAATAGATTTACAGAATTCCAGAATTGAAGACTCGATAATGCCGATAAGTGTAAGGATTTTCAAAAATAAAATAAATTCATAGAAGACATCAGTCGGGTATGATATTTTTTATAAACTACCCCCCTCTAACAATAGTTTTACTCTCGTAAATTAGAAATGTTGACACGGAGCAGAAATCTTCGCTATTCTGGGGAGTAACTACTTAATTCTTTTTAGGGTACAAGAAGTATCAAAAAGGAGAACAAATTTGAAACGTGAACCCCCCCCCCCCTCTCTTTTTTTTTATACCCACCTACTCCTGAAGGAGAGTTAATTCTTAATAATGTACACCCATGAGACAAATTGTTGACGATTATTGGTTTAGTAGTAACAAAAACTTGCCTGACAAAATCCGACAAAAAATGCAGGATTAAATGGTTTTGCCGGTTTGACATTTAATATGAACAAGAAGCCCCAGCCAAGTTTATTTTTGGTTTAGTAGGAAAAAAACTTACCTGACAAAATCCAACAAAAAATGCAGTTTTAAATGGGTTTGCCGGTTCGACATTTAATATGAACAAGAAGCCCCAGCCAAGTTTATTTTTGGTTTAGTAGGAAAAAAACTTACCTGACAAAATCCAACAAAAAAATAGATTAAATGGTTTTGCCGTTTCGACATTTAATATTGACAAGAAGCCCCAGCCAAGTTTTAAACAAATAATTTGGTGGCTAAATATATTATAATTTATGAGAACAGGTACACAGGTGAATAATAATTTACAAGGTACTTGGGATTTGAACAGTATGTACACTGTACACTGTACAGTCATGAACACAACATCTTAAATAACAAAATAACTAAGCACAAATTTTACGATTAAATTCATAGATAATTTTTCTACTGTGAACTACTACATTTTAGGCATAATATAGAAAACATGTGACCAGGGTAAGATATTGTTAATTCTTCTAAGTGTTCAAATCTCATTTAAAATATTCGATCAATTGAAGTAAAAAAAAACATATAACAACTTGAATTTTAATCCTTACTTCATAAGTTCATAAATGTCAACTTTGAGAATTTTGGTCTTAGTCAAGTTCAAGTATAACACATTTTTTAGATTAAAATGTATAGAAAAGTTTAAAAATTTGATTTCCGTAATAAATGCTTTTAAAGTGTAGAGGTTTTGTTAAGCGTTTACATGATTACACATAGTTTAGCTAGTCCTCCTGTAACCATCTCGGGGCCGGGTGACAGGGGCATGGCTTTTGACTCTGTCTCTGGGGCACGAATAGGCGTGGCTTCGACCATATGGGGGCGGGGCAGCTTGCCTTGGAGTGGGGTGGAGGCCTGAACGCCACTGTAATCCGTGGAAGGACCCGCTGGCGAATTCATAGCAAGGAGAGACGGTTGAATAACAGTTCCAATCTTCCGGTTTCGGCGGGAAATGGCGGGGGTTCCGGTTATATGAGATTTCATCTCCTTCTTCTCACCAACCTTCTTGAACTTGGGAGAGTTCGGGTCCTAAAATCAATCAATCAATTGATCAACCAAGTAAACATCAATGTAAACAAGAGCAATCAAAAGCTATTGCACTGTAAAGAAACGCAATCGATAATATTACGGCATTTAATGCAAGAATGCAGGCAGTAATCTAGTTTCTAACATTACCCCCCCCCCCCCCC